GTGTGTCATAGCCGCACTGGTTGAACAGTTGAACAAATTTTGGACACTTAACATATTAGGCTTTTATTATATAGGATTAGTGAATGCAGGTAAAAGTTTTGTGAGCAGTTCTAGCAAGTTATAGAACCTGAAGAGGGGTTCCTCGCAACCCCCAGTTCATAGTGAGTTGGTCAGAAGTACTGGTGGCCTGGACTTTTGATTGGCATCTGAAGTAGGCCTGAGCCTTACAGGGTCTATGCTAACTCTGGGCAGTGATATCAGAATTGAGTTAGAGTGTAGAAACCTAGTGAGTGTCCACTGAGAACTGGAGAATTGCTTGGTGCGGAAAAACCTACACATTTGGTGTCAGGTGTGCAGAGTGTATAGAAAATCAGAGTTTTTCTTTTAGTCATAGAGGAGGTTTGTGGTAGGACCTGGACTCAGATCCAGGCTTCACATCACAGACCAATGCTCCATCTCTATGGCCAGGCATTTCTTCTTCCCAGCCATCCCAAGATGTCCACTGCATCCACAAATTATAAAAGAAGGATCCAAATAAATGTTAAAAAGTCAATCCTTTCCTCTGTCAGTCTGCTTCAGCTTTCACTTCATTGTTTCTGCTGGTTTTCACTAGGCTTCCAACTAGGTCATTTTCTTTTTTTTTTTTTTCCTTTTTCTTTTTTTTGGGGGGAAGAGAGGGGATTTAATTCTTACCTGAGGATATATTATATTTTATTCCTTGCTTTTTTTCTTAGAGAATGGAAGGGAGGGGTGGGGGGGAGAGAGAGAGAGGAGGTGGAGGAGGATCAGAGAGAGAGAAAGAGAGAGAGAGAGAGAAACAGAGAGAGAGAGAGAGAGAGAGAGAGAGAGAGAGAGAGAGAGATTGGTACCTCCCATATGTGCCCTGACCAGGAATTAAACATACATTTTGGTGTATGGAACAATGTCACGACCACCTGAGCAACCTGACCAGGGCAGGAAGAGATAAAATACGAGGGCAAAGCCCTGGTGAATGAGAGATGAGTGATCTCGTTCCCCACCAAGAAGGTGGTTCTCTGCACATCAGGAAGAGAAGCCACACCAGTATCCAAATCAACTAACACCTTGATCTTGAACTTCCCAGCTCTTCAGATCTGAGATATCAAGGACTGTTGTTTAGCCACCCAGCCCATGGTATTTTTGTTATAGCAGCCTGAACAGACTGAGATAACTGGCTTCCATCAAAGGATGGAGACACTGCCTCCTAAACAAGTCAGGGCTCTCGGAAGAGGAAGGTCGGTTATGTGGGCAACCAACCATGTCAGCAGCAACTCAAACAGCCAAGAGGAGGGGAGACACCATGAGGAAGTGATCAAGAGCACAAACTTGGGCTACATCCCAACATCCACATGCCAGTATGGGAGTTTGGGCACATTGCTTGACTTCTTTTTTATCTTCTGTGAAATGGAGATAAAAACAATACCTCTTTCACATGACTGCCGTGAAGATTTAGATGAGTTTATGCATGGAAAGTGGTGAGGACAATGACCAGCACATAATACATGTTCAGCACATAATACATGTTTTTGTTTTCTTTATTGGTGAAACCCATCCTCCATCTTCCAGAAAATGACCTGATTTTTCATTAGTGGAATGCTCTGATAGACAGCTTGTAGTGTGTGTGTGTGTGTGTGTGTGTGTGTGTGTGTGTGTGTGTTGGGGGAGGTGGAGAAGGAGGACAAGCTCCTTTCCTGGGGAAATATTCAAAAAACACTAATCTTTGCTTTTGCCAATTGGGGTTTTTAAGTTGACGACCAAAGCTGACCCTCCTTTAACTATGAGGCATTTGGAAGAGGAAGAAGAGAAAGAAAGATGGGAAACTGCTTGGCAGCAAGAGGGAGAGTTGAGGAAAACCACAGTGCTGACTCCCTGTGAGAGCATCAGAACTCCATTTCGCTTCTTAATGTGTGCTGGATTTGGATGTGTTTGGGAGGACTCAGACTCATGCTGAGTGCAGTTTAGAGATGGACTAAGGTCACCCAAGGCGCAAGTCTGCTACACCTGGGCTACATCCATGAAAATAATTGATGTGAAATACACCAAAATACTTGGGAGTGAACATTGACCTCTGGGTGCACATGGGTCAAGGTCAGGCATAATTTTAGGTTCCTTCTTCATACTTGTTTGTTTTCAAAATTTCTATAGTGATCAGGGACCTGTTCTATGATCAGCTATGAATGCTATTTTAAAACTTTCATAGAGAAAAATAATCAAGGTTTTTTGGGTGTGTGTGTGTGTGTGTGTGTGTGTGTGTGTGTGTGTGTGTGTGTTTTGTTTGTTTTTTTGTTTGTTTTTTAAAGGTTGAGCATGTTAGCTCCATTTGTCAAATAAACTGCTTGTCCAGCAGCATTTTCTCCCTTTTTCTCCCTGTTTCTTTCTAACAGCTAATGATAATAACAGTTACCAAGCATTTTACTATGTATGTCTCAATGCTTGATGTGCCTATAATCCTAGGGAGAAGTGCTATTAAAATTTCTATTTTAAATATGAGGAAAGAAACTCAGAGATGCTAAATCACTGGCGCAAGCCCCCCTCCCTCCCCTCTGGAGCTGTTTGGTGTCAGTACTCTTGCCTCTAAGCACTACCTGTCTCTCTTTTGTTCCTTTCGCCACCTTTCCTTCTCTGATCTCTGGGGGAAAAAATGATCGATCAGGACCTGTGTCAGCTGCATGGTGCAACTCTAGATTTCTCAGCTTCAGCATGATTGACATCTTGGTTCAGATAATTCTCTGCTGAGAGGGACTATCCTGCCCATTACAGGGTGCTGAGCAGCATCCTGGGACTCTACCCACTAGATGCCAGTAGCACTTCCATACACACCCAGTTATAGAAACTAAATATGTCTCCAGATAGTGTCAGATGTCCCTGGGGACCAAAATTGTCCCCATTAAGAACCACCGATGTAACCTGATCTGCATAGTAGCTGTGGAAAAGGGCCAGGGAGCTCCACTAGTTGAACTATTGCTGGTAGAAACCAAAGGGAACAGTGTGTATGCTTCTGGCAATTCCCCAAGATCATTCGAGGCAGCTGCCACCTCAGGACATTCCAGGACAGGGCCTGGCAAATGGCTGGAGTGCCTCTGGCAACAGGAGACGCGGGCTAAAGTGTGATGTCCATGCCTCTTGTCCTGAAAGCTGGGATACTGGAATTAAAGAGGGTAACATGGGCAATGCTTGACCAGCAAAGGGCTAGTCTGTGGATGACACTGTGGAGGGAACAGACCAGTTCTTGGCCAAGATGCTGTGGAAGGAGGCAGATCTGTGGACTTGGATTAATTTCTAGTCCCGGCCCCACCCTCATATGCGGTGTGGGCACAGTTGAGCCCTTTGAGAAAATGAATGCTTCACTCTGTCTCTTCCTGGGACAGTAGGATGCTGTGTCCAAACTGGCCCACTCTATCCCCGCTCTTGCTTTATTTTTCATAGCATTTGTTTTGTGTTTATCTACTGTCTCCTCTGCCTACATTTCAGCTCATAAGGGCAGGAGAAACTGCTGCATCCCTGGAGCCTATGACAGTGGCGGACGTAGTAAATGCTCAATAAAGACTTGCAGAATAAAGGCATATACCCCCCACCTCCTTCAAGGGGAAGCAGTTTAATAATGTATCTCAATGGCCCCAGACATGCCAAGCCTTTTGTACTCAGTCGTTCCAATTCTGAGATTCTATAGCTGCCATCACACACACACACACCAAATATAATAATCCAAATAATCCAATCTGAGGAAGAAGCCTATGTAGATCCAAGTTCCTCCTACTGTGACTAAAATAACATAAATAACCTGGAAAACCCACCTAAGTAACTAAGATACAGGCATAATGAAAACAGACCCGATAAATCTCGGTGAAATTTCAAGCAGCCATTACTAATATAGTTTACAATAAGATGAGTTAATATTGCAAAACACACACACACACACACACACACACACACACACACACACACACAGTACATAAAGCAAACTGTCCATGCAACCTGATTACTGAGATTATGGGAGTGAACATCCTTTCACACTGTTGGTGGACAGTTTGAAAAGTGCTATTAAAATGCACGTGTTCATGATATTGGACTCAGCCATTACATTTCTAGGAATTTACTTTTTTAGGAATTTATCCTAGGAATGTATGAGGAAACCACCCAGATGTCTAGGAATATGGGAACAGTTAAATAAATCTCAGTATAACAACACAATGGAATAGTATACAGCCATTATGAAAAGATTTGCATGTTCTGATGTGGAAAGATGCCCAAGATATATCATTAAATTTTAGAAAGTTACAACATGTGTGTTGATATAATAACAACAATATGCTATATGGTAGTATAAGCATAAACATTTTTTTTTAAATTGGGAGGAATATATACAAAGTTGTTGAAAATAGTTATCTCTAAAGGACAGAGTGAGATTTTCCCTGTCTATGCTGTGAATTTCTCTAATGTTTAAACATTTTAACAACAAGATGATAAAAGAATACACTGAACCTGCCACATAAGCTTGCTCAGTGGTTGGCAAACTCATTAGTCAACAGAGCCAAATATCAACAATACAATGATTGAAATTTCTTTTGAGAGACAAATTTTTTAAACTTAAACTTCTTCTAACACCACTTCTTCAAAATAGACTCGCCCAGGCTATTGTATTTTGTGGAAGAGCCACACTCAAGGGGCCAAAGAGCCGCATGTGGCTCGCAAGCCTCGGTTTGCTGACCATGGACGGAGCTTGCTCATACAAGCAAACAAAAGCCAGACACATGAAGACTGGGAGGAAAGGTGTTAGTAGTAGTGACTGATCATCTCTAAGTAGTGAGATATAGGGAAATCTTTATTTTTCTTCTTTTGGGGGAAAACTTCTACAAAAGCATGTATGGCCTTTACAAAGGCCACCCCTTCCCACAATTTCCTTTCATTGAAATTGGGGAGGTGCTCAGGGTGTGGAATGCTTTTCAGTGTAACCTGCTGACGGCGGTGTCCTGTTTCCCCAGGATGGATGACATTCAGCTGTGCAACGACATCATGGACCTGAAGCAGGAGCTGCAGAACTTGGTTGCCATCCCAGGTAAGCATCTGGGACTCCAGCTGCTCAGAGCTCCCAACACCCCCCCTCCCCCCATCTGTACTCCCTTGGAGCTGGAAGACAGTGTTTATCTGGTCTCCTAACACGGCCACATTCTTGCAGTGCAGTGCTTCCTGATCCTGTGATTCAAACACAACTGTCAGGCAGATCCAGTTCAAGTCCTAATTCTGGCCACAGCCTTGACCTTGGGCAAGTCACTCTATCTCTCTAAAGCTTAAATACACAGTGAAGCAAACCCAAAAGTTTAAATAAAGATGAAATCAGTACTGATACTCAGTGGGTAGAGGCCAGCAATGCTAAAACTTGCAGCCTGGGGGCAGTTCCATGTGAAGAATGTTCCTCTCCAAAAGCCATGGGCTGTCCTGCTGAGAAGCATAGGCCGCACCAGGTTATAGGGCCGGTTAATTACAGAGCCCAGGTTTCTAATGCCGGTCCCATTGATTCCCCTGAAAATTGCATTGTCCCCATTGCTTTTGTGTGGAAATTCAGATATTAACTTTTTCTTATGTCCCCTGCATTTCCCCTCACCTCTCTCACTTTCTCCCTGACTCCTTGTTAAGAGTCTTCTCTGTATTCCCTGGATCAGTGTCAGATTTCTAGATGGATTTTAGCTGAATTTAGGGGGAGGGGCAGGGAATGATGCTTCAGGCAACACATCAATAAAAATATTAAGGAGAGAGAGCACCGAATGGCCAAGAAAATTATGTTTCACCAGCCAAGGTCGGAAGATAATTTATCAGCTCTTCAACAGAAAACAACAAAAACAAAAACACCTTGGACCCTTCCTGCCTTGAGGGTTTCTCAAGAACAAGACAAAATGTGATCCTCCCATCACCACTGCTGCCTTAGAACTGGCTGTAGAGGGGATGTCACCTTCCCCTTGGACATAGAAATAGTACCACCTTCACCTGGTTATTGGAAAGATTTAAACTACTGGTTCTCAGCCAGGACAATACCCCCCCCCCCCCCAAATTGGGCAATCAGCTGACATTTTTGGTTGTCACAGCTCAGGGAGGAAGTGCTTCTGGCATGAGGGGGAGGAGGCCAGGGAAGCTTCTGAATATCCTACAATGCACAGGACAGTCCCTATAATAAAGATTTATTCAGCACAAATATCAATAGTGTCAAGGTTGAGAAACCTAGAATAAATGAAAACAAAAACCTCAGAGAATGAGAACAAAAAAAAAAACCCTCAGAGAATCTATATAGTATAAAGGTAATATGCAAATTGTTCAGGACACTGTAATGTCACGAGTGCTCAGGAGGAGACTGCCCACGCAAGTGGGTGGGAAAGGACTGTATGCGCAGTGAGGTAAGCCATGGATGGCACAGGCCTGCAGAGAACAGGGCCTGCCAGCCGCAGTGCACCAGCAGTCCCGCCTGTGTGCGTGAGCTGCAGAGGAAACACCTTTTCTGACTGCTCATTGGCTAAGCTCCCTGTAAGCCACTCGCAGAGTTCTTGGTAACTTGGGTAATAAGAATCCAAGAAGATGATCTATGGTTTTCCCACCTCATTCCTGGAGGAAAAAATGAAGGTCCACTGCTGGAGGGGATAAGAAATGTCATCTCCTGCCCTAGCCAGTATGGTTCAGTGGGTAGAGCCTTGGCCTGTTGACCACAGGGCCCGGGTTTGATTCTGGTCAAGAGCATGTACCTAGGTTGCAGGCTCCTTCCTGGCTAGGGCCCTGGTTAGGGCTCATGCAGGAGGCAACCAATCAAAATGTCCCTCTCACATTGATGTTTCTTTCTGTCTTTTACTCTCTCTTCTACATTCTCTAAAAATTAATGGAAAAATATTCTCAGGTGAGGAAAAATATAAAGGAAGGAAGGAAGGAAGGAAGGAAGGAAGGAAGGAAGGAAGGAAGGAAGGAAGGAAGGAAGGACATATCCTATGAAAGAGACATCTTGAAAACGCCTAAAGAAAGTTGTCATTTTTTTGTGGTGAAGGGAGTCTGTGTTGATGAAAACACCTTGGAAGCTGAGGCGGCCGGCAGTGGCAGTAGCAGCAAGGTGATGGGGGTGGCATCTTCCCCTGATGATCAGCCCAGTTGCCTCCTGCAGAGAGAGGCCAGACTGCAGCTTAGGGGAGTGGGCCTAAACCATCAGTAGGACATCCTCTGAGGGCTCCTGGATTGGAAAGAGTGCATGTTGGGCTGAGAGGACCCCCCCCCCCCCAATGCATGAATTTCATGTACTGGGCCTCTAATATAAATATAATAGTTTTCAATTACTAAGTACTGACCATTTGCACATTTATGTTACCTGATTTTATTTTCCTTCATTAAGCATGTGTTTCTTTTGTACTTGGTTCAGTAAATAGTTAATCTGGAGGGCATTTAATCATTTGTACCCAGAGTCACACAGCTGGGAGGGGTAGAAAGTTGGGCATCAAGCCAGGACTGTCTGGTTCTACAGGGAGGGCTCACAGTTGTGATAGGAGCTACAGGCCAGGGAAATTGGCAAGGAGGCCACGGCTTGGTCCAGGGAGGGGTGATGGTGGCCTGGGCTAACGAGGTGCTGGTGGAGATGAAATGCATGTTAGAAGGACACACAGGCAAGCACATTGAGATGCTAAGAATCAATTGTGCGATGGCAGCAAGCAGTGGGTCAAGTTGGTAAGCTGGTGGTTCTTATTAAGTAGGTAGGTGGGTGATGTTGGCAAGAAAGAGGTCACATCACCAATCAATGACAGTGTCTGCAGATAAGTGGGTGGGCCTCTGGGCAAGTAGGTGATGCCAGTGAGCAGATGGATGGGGCCTGGAGGCAGGTGGGTGATGCCTGCAGGCAGGTGAGGGATACCAGCAGAAAAGGTATGTGACACACAAGCAGGTGAGCAGCACTGGCCTGTGGTATGGAGACTTGGCTAAGTAACCGGTTTGTAGCTAGCACAGACCACTTTGAGTAGGTGGCTTTTCCTGTGAGTTGCATGAGTGGAAGGCTGCAACTGAGTACCTGGGAGTCTGAGGATGCCTGAATGGAAAAGTGATAGAAAACAGGGTGACTAATTTGGGGAGGGAAGTTCTCATTTCCTTGGGGACCTGCAAGTCATTCCGGACTTCCTGAGAGAGCTGAGCGATCAGGGTACTATGGCGAGTCTGTGGGCACTGTGTGAACTTACCTGCTGAGGCTGGAAAGTACTTTGCCATGCTAACAAGCCCATAGGACCAACTATAGGAAGACTGATGCCACCATTGTCAATGTAGCAATGGTCAGGAATTCAGGGGCTGCCAGAAATTCTTCCCCCTCCCTCACTTTCCTTCTGGTTAATGAAAGACGTTGATTTTGTCTCTTATCCAAATATTATATTTTCTTCACTTGATTCTGTCTCTAAACCTAGAGGAAATTGCCAGTGCCAGCCCTAGGCAGACAGACGGATGAGCTGCCCATTTACTTTATCTTCTGAAGGGGTCTGAGCAGAGAGGGCTGATGCACTTGTGGTTTTCTCAGTCCTCATTTCCAGTCCTGGTTCTTTTGTTTTCTCTTTGGCATTCCAGCCCTGGGTAGTTGGGATAGGACTCATGCCATCAGCGTGGAATCTGACAGATTGGACGTCCTTGCTATGAAGTATTTCCTCCCAGCACCCCCTCTGAGCCCTTCTCACCCTCTGCCTTCTTCAGCAGGAACCCCTTGCTGCTTCATTACCACTTACTGAGCGCCCACCACACCTGAGCTCTGCTAAGCCATTTACTAATGTCCCTGCGTGTAAGCCTCACTGGTTGTATTTTGCAGAGGAAGAAACTGAAGCTCAACTGGGCTAAATTGCTTCTTCTCCAAGTTCACCCAACTACTGGAATCGTAGATCCAGGATTCCAACCCTGGCCCCTTAGATGCAAGTGTTTTTCACCAGTTTCACTCAATTGTTTCTTTGCTGATGCTTTCTTCTTCCCAGAAAAAGAAAAAACCAAGCTGCAGAAGCAGAGAGAGGACGAGCTAATCCAGAAGATCCACAGACTGGTGCAGAAGAGAGACTTCCTGGTGGATGATGCAGAGGTCGAGCGGTTAAGGTGAGTGGGAACCAGGCTGCTGAGTGGGAACACAGCCTTCAGTTTCCTTCCAAACCCATTGTTTGCTCCTGGGACTCACAGCCCTGCCCAACAGGCATGGCCTCACCAAAAGGTCCCCTAACACTGGATCCAAATGAACCCCAGCCTTCTGCCCTGAGAACCCATTTCACATTCAAGAGAAACAAATCCAGCTCTAGCGTCTTGCAAATGCCTGTGGGTCTTACTTAACTGAATGTCATTCAAGGAAGTGAGCGGGGAGAAATTACATCACATAACATGCAGGTGTGCTTCCTACACATTTTCTCTTCACTGACCTTTTTCTGAACTCATCAAGGCAACTTCTAGGAACTTCTGTTGGTTTCTACAGAAACCCTGCCACTGTACTGACTTGCTTCCTTGCCTTCCCTGTCCCCTTCCCAGCCTTGTTCTGTTCTTTCCCCTCAATGGTGGTTCCGATGCCCCTCCTATTTGCAGATGTACCCATCCCCTGGATTTGGACAACTAGGGGCCCTGGAGCCATGGTTTACCTCTGGAGGAGGCTGAGCCCAGGAAACATGAATGTTGACTCTCGAATATTTTTGTCCTGGAGCAAAGCCTTTGGAGCCCTTCCCAAGGAGAGGGGCTCATAGGGCCTCTTCGAACTCAGAGGGCAACTTCCTCTTTACTCTGTGTGTCCTCTCGGGTCACCCAAGGCCCCTGGGATGCGCCTTGCCTAGCTCAGCCAGGCATGGCCCACTGTCTTTGCTCCTGGTAACTGTTGGAAGAGGTGAGGTGACCTGCCGTATATCTTATGAAAGCACCTCTGAGACCTGCCATGTATCGTGTGGAAGCACAGGTGTCTAGGGTGACTTAAAGGTACAGGGTCAGGAGAGGTGCTGCCCAACTCACTGAACTCTGGAAGGGAGACTGGGTTCTGTGATGTCCTTGCTCTACCCTGGGGTCTCATTCATGCTTCAGGTAGGCATTTGTTCCTTTGTTATGTGAATGCTTCAGAGCAGGTTTATCAAGCACAACATGCAAATACCAGGCACACATAACACAGAAAACATATGCATACCACACATACATAACACAGAACACACAACTACCACCCACACATAACACACAATATACACAAATCAACCAAATATAACACACAACAACGTGCATGCACCACCCACAAAGCCCGTTACATGGCCCCACACATGTAACCTCTTGCCTCATTTCCTCAGCTCCTTGATGCTTTCCTTGCTTACTCTACTTTCCTCTTGTCTTTACACATCTGTCTTCACAGGGAGCAGGAAGAAGACAAGGAAATGGCTGATTTCCTGAGAATCAAGTTAAAACCTCTAGACAAAGTAACTAAATCTCCAGCCAGTGAGTGCATACATTATTTCTTCTCCTCCCATCCAAGAGAAAATGAAATTTAAAAGAGGTGTGGGGTCCAAAGAAGGCAAAACAAAATGCTTTTTAGAGTTGAAACCTGTGCACAGGATGAAGGCAGGCAGGGGCAGCTTCATCGTTGTGCAGCCTGTGCAGTTGCCCAGGGCCCCATGCCTAAGAGGTCCTGTGATTTTATCAGTGCTTAGCTAGTATTGTCTTACAATTCTTAAGAATTTTGGAACAGGGGGCCCTGCATTTTCATTTTGCACTGGTTCTGCAAACTGTGGAGCTGCCATTCTCGAATCACTCAGTTTAATGCGTTTCACAGGAGGAGGTGGGTGGCCACTGAGGCAAGGAGGTGGGAACTGAGGCTCAGGGAGCTCTGGCTTCTATTGGAGGTGGAATTTCTAAGGCAGTGGAACCAGAATTACGTTTCTCAGAATATTAGTCTCACAAGAAACTCAGAGCATAAAGGATTATGTGTGAAGTAAATTTGGGAAATGCTGCATATTTGACCCTCTGTATGGAAGGTTCTAATGTTCATTAGCATATTAAGCTGATAATGGTCCTGCTGTCAAGGAATTGTCTTCTCTTTGTTGACCCAGTGAGGTTGCTATCAGTTATACCAAAGGGATGCCCAATTCAAACTGTCCCTAGCAAAACAGAGGATCTGGAAGAAGAGCAACAAGAACCAGGGCTTCAGGGACTAGACACTGTTAGAATCCTTGCTTTCCTTCCATTTCTCATCTGTGCCCCTCTCTCTATGTTAGCTCCATTTTTCTCCTCTGTGAGGCCAAAACTCCAGAGCCATAAAACTTAGCGAGATCTGAGGCAGTAGCACAGATTCTCTCTGCTGGTATATAAGTATATAAATATCAGTGAAAGATGCTAATTTGCCTTTCTTGGATTTTGTTCCCATGTCTTAGGTCCATCATTTTTTTTTCTTTTTAATTTTATTGATTTTTTTACAGAGAGGAAGAGAGCGGAACAGAGAGTTAGAAACATCAATGAGAATCATCGATCAGCTGCCTCTTGCACACCCCCTACTGGGGTTGTGCCCACAACCAAGGTACATGCCCTTGATTGGAATCGAACCTGGGACCTTTCAGTCCACAGGCCGACGCTCTATCCACTGAACCAAACCGGTTTCAGCCCATCATTTTTATCAAGTGGCTAAAATACTGTGATTGGCCAGATCTTTGTCACATGCTCACTCCTGTAGCCACAGGGACATCAGCTGTTACTAAAGTAAAAAGGGCTAGAAACCTTGCTAGGAAGATAAAACCCAAAAGCTGCCGCTGATGACTACAGTTGTAAGCCCAGTTTTCCTTGGTCATCCGTTAACATCCCAGGAAAATACAGTTGTAAAGTGTAGGGGAATAAAGAGAGAGATGAGCCATGGTCCCTTCTGCAGGCCCCTAAAATAGCATGGCACATGGTCCCTGGTCCCCCTGTAAATCCATGGGAGTTAGGAAAGCTCCACCTAGCACTGAGGAGAAGGAGTAAGGAAACTTGCTTTCTGAGTAGGGTTATAGCAAGAAATCAAAACACCAAGCCTGCACCACAGTCAAGAGGCTAAGTGTGGGGCCAAATTTAAATTACTTGTCTGGTGCTGAGAACCCAAGTGGAAAAATTAAAACTGATTAAAAAAAAAAAAAAAAAAAAAACACAGTGAAATTTATGGGACCCCAGCAAAGCAAGTGCAAAATTGCTCAATAGGGACCCTTCAGTGTATTCCATAATACGTACACAGTTCACATATAGGATAACCTCCATGAAGATAAGCTCTCAATAAAAATATAAAACCAACCTGGCCAATGTGGCTCAGCGGCTAAAGATCCACCTATGAACCAAGAGGTCATGATTGGATTCTCAGTCAGGGCACATACCCGGGTTGCAGGCTCGATCCCCAGTAGGGCGCATGCAGGAGGCAACTGATCGATGCTTCTCTCTCATCATAGATGTTCCTTTCTCTCCCTCTCCCTTCCTCTCTGAAATCAGTGAATAAAATAAAGTAAAATAAAATAAGAATAACCAAAAATGTAAAACCAATTAAAATGAGCCACAATGAGAGGAGTCCATTTGAATCAACAAAGAAAAAAGAGAATGCCTGTTCTCCCAAGAACTATAATAGAACTAACAGACTATTAAAAGAGACAATAAATATATTTAAAATTATTAAAATGAGAAGGAATTCAACACAAATGATAGAACAAGATGCTGTTAAGAAATAAAATGTAGATTTGCAAACACCTGGCTTTCTAAAAAAAATATTGTTACAGTACTGAAGCAAAAACTCAATGGGTTAGATACAGAGATACAGTTGATGGGAGGATTCATAAATTAGAAACCAGAGCTGAAAAAACCACCCAATATGCAGCACAGAGACAAAAAGATGGAAACTATGAAGGAGAAGGAATGAAACATGGAAGATAGAATAAGAAGGCCCAACTTACATCTCATACACATTCCCAAAGAAGAGCTAACAGAGACTGAGTGGTAGACGTATCTGAACAGCTAATGATGAGATGTGAGCTCTCAGACTAGAATGACTTGAACAAAGTTTCCATTTCATCATTCACCAACTACTTCTTGAATGCCAGGCCCTGTGATAAGCTTGGCAGTAACAATGACAGGGAGAACTGCATAGGATAAGATTTATAAACTGTGACCGGAAGCTGAGGACTGAAAGGCCAGTGGGAACAGTCAGTATGACCGTATAAAATGCATGCCAGCTCTCCACATCACCAGGTGAAGCAAGGTCTGGCTGGGGGTTGGGATGGGACTGGGGTTGCAGATGGTCAGGGCTCTCCTTACCTCACCTCTCTCTCTCTCTCTCTCTCTCTCTCTCTCTCTCTCTCTCTCTCTCTCTCTCTCTCTCTCTCTCTCTCTCTCTCTCCCCCTTCTTCCCTCTCTTTCTCTGTGCTCCTACCTTGCTGCAGGCTCCCGAGCCGAGAAGAAAGCAGAGCCCCCGCCTAGCAAGCCCACAGTGGCCAAGACCGGGCTGGCACTCATCAAGGATTGCTGTGGGGCTACCCAGTGCAGTATCATGTAGCCCCCGTGTGGGGTGCCCCTGGGGCCACGGGGACTCCCCCTCCCATCCACTTGTCTTCACAGCCCCCATGTCACCGGGGCCCAAGAGCTCTCAAACGCGGAAGGGGTTGAAGGCAAGCCTGTGACTGCCGCCGGGGCTGCGGGCGCAGTGGGCGGGCCCAGCCGCCCTGTACAGAGTGTAGCAATAGGGAGCCCCTCACCGTCGCATGGCCCTCCCCAGAGCATGCCGAACCCAGGAGTCTGTCTCACTGTTTATCCAAACCACCAGGAAAAGGTCCTTCCTCAAAAAAAATATATCTCCACCTCTATCTAGCTGTACCTAACCCACCGTGCAAATGACTTGGGAGAGGGGCATGACCCCCAGGTGTGTATAGCTGCGACTTTTCAACAGCCTAGCACCCTGTTGGACACATCCCCCGTCTACCCTCCTCGCTCTGCTGTCCTTTCCCAGGAGCTATGCCCTGGAGGGCTCCACACAGCCCACACATCTTGGAGGCAGAGGGCCCGTCTGTAAAAGTGAGCTTGTGTGTGGTGTCACGGTCACATCTCCCGCTTCCTCCTCTCCCCTGCCTGGGCACGGTTCACACCAGGACCCTGTCCATTTGCTCTTGGTTCTTCCTTCCCTTGCAATGGCTGCCCAGGTATATGGAGTAGAGGGGATGGAGCCTGGGCTGGAGCACGCCCAGTGCTTGGAAGAGGCAGCAAAATGCCAGAGGCTCCATCCCCAAGGCAAGGGAGACAAGCAGGGGACCCCCAAGCAGATGCTGACCCAGGCGCTCTTCCCCAACCCCAGGGGCCCCCGGAAGGAGTGCCAGATGACCCCACTCACCAGCCCAACACACAGACCTCTGTAAACGACAATGGCAGGCAGGAGAGGCAGCCTGACCCAACCGTGTCCCATCGTTTGGTGGTGTACTTTAACCAGCCTAGCAAGTCCACCTGTGTAACTTGATGTACATAAGCTACAGCCAGCTGGGCACAGCCCATGTGACTTCTGTACGTGTGTGTCGTGACCGGCCTAAGTAGTTAGCATAGGTTTGCTGATGTGCAATCATCCATCAAAGAAAATAAAAGCAGAAACCACGTACACAGCACTTTCAAAGTTTTTACTTTTTTCTTGACCATGGAAATAATCCACGTACATAACAAGTCACTTTAAAAAGTATAGAAAGTAGAAAGAATGCTTTGGGTTCCTTTTTTTTTAGCTCCCATAATTTCTTCAACTAGAGACTACTCTGACATTTTGGAATATTTCCTTTAAATTTTTTTGAATGCATTAAAAAAATGATTGGCATCCTCTGTACCATTTCATAACAAGTTTTCTCTTCTCTTTTAGCATTATATCACTATCATTCTCCCACATCATTAAAAGTTCTTTGTACACATTAAATACTCTTCATAAAATATTTACAATGGTTTATTAGTAATCTTCTGAATATACCATAATTTATCTAACTGTTTACTCACTATTAGACATTTAGGCTGTTTCTGGTTTTTCAGTATTATAAATAATATTATGATAATCATCCTGGGATAAAGCTTCATCTGGATTTTTTATTTATTTTTCCTTAAGATAATTTCCTAGAAGTAAAGTTTTTATGCTACTAATGGATCGCATTTAAAGAAATATATTTGTGAATTTAAGGTAGATCTGAACCACTGATCCCACTGGAATTATAAGTGTTTTTTGCATTGAGTTAGAAAGTCAAACTCTGCTGAAACAAAGGGATAAGACTTTTTTAGCATGTCATTAGTATCTGAGATTAGCCAGATAAACAAAATAAAGCAAAACAAAAACTCCTTTCATCTACAACATGTCTAATTCATTAAGGTAAGCTTCAGCAGGGCAAACAAAGAAACCCAGCAACCAGAGATATATGAATAAACCAGCCTATTAAAGAATATTCTTGTTTGTTTTGTTTTTCTGAGCCCAAAAGAAAAAATAAATCTGGCCATAGTTGGTGTGGCTCTGTGGTTAGTTTCAGCCCATGCACGGAAGGGTTGTGGGTTCGATTCTTGGTCAAGGGCAGATATCTGGGTTGTAGATTCAATCCTGACTCTGGTCAGGGCATGAGCAGGAGGCAACCAATCAATGTGTCTCTTTCACATGGATGTTTCTTTCTTTCTCTCTCCCCCCCCCCCCCCGCCCCCTTCAATAGAAAAAATATCCTCAGGTGAGGATTAATAACAGCTACAAGGTAAATCTGAATGTCTGTCAAGTCACAGCAGCTTTGGAGTTGACACAAATCTCTCTAACCGAGGAACCAGTCTTGGGCCGATGGCCCCTCCCAGTGGGCAGCAAGCCCCTCCCACTCTGTCTCACATGAGTTTCTGCCTCAGGTGCCAGCTCTGACGTGCACCCACTTCCTGCATCCTGAAGCTAAAGAGGCACCACCACCACCATACCTCCACACGGGCCTCAGGGAACACTGTCCTCCTTCACTGCCATGAAGCCAGACCTGAAGTGCTTCCTAGGGCTGCCATAACCTGTTACCTCATCCAGGGTGTCTTTAAACAACAGAAGCTTATGCTCAGTTCTGGAGGCCAGAGGTGTACAATCAAGGTGTCAGCAGGGCCATGCTCCCTCTGAGGCTCTAGGGGAAAGTCCTTCCTGTCCTCTGCCAGCCAGTGGTGGCACCTGGCAATCATTGGTTTCATCGCTCCAATCTCTGCCTCCGTCTTCACATGGCCACTTCCTCTGTATGTGTGTCTGTGTTCTCTCCTGTTTTTATAAGGACACCAGTCATTGGGTTTAGGACCCATCCTAAATCCAGGATTATCTCATCTTGACCCTTAATTACTTCTGCAAAGACCCTATTTCCAAAAAGGTCACATTCTGAGACAGCATGTAGCCATGAATTTTAGGAGGACGCTATTTAACTTATTACACAGATGCTCCTCACTTTTGCAATAAAAATGTGGGCTGCTAGGAGCCTGCCACTCTCCCTTACCTGTGGAAGATGTGGGTCTGGAAGGCCTTGACCTCAGACCAATTAAAGACAATCACCAATTGAACAAGCCAAAGGAAGTGAAAGCCCTCATAAAAATCCTGCCTGTAGTACATCTGCGGAACCCTAGAATAGACCTAACTCATGTTCCTGCTATTCCTATTGATTTTTTTTTTTAAACACAAAATTCCACCATTTATTTAGGCTTTTACAGAAGAGCAGAAGGAAGGAATTTAAGGTGCTCCCAGAACACCAAGGCTGCCTGCAAAGCTGAGAAACCTTGCAGACCTCAGGACCTCACACCCAGACTCATTCCTTCTGGAAGTCAAAGGGGGTGTGGGGGAAGGGGAGAGATAATAGGAAAAGCATTTGTTGAGAGCTTATTGCTATGCACTGAGCCATGTATCCACATTTTCTCATCTCCTCACCTTAACCCACAGGGCAGACCCTATTATTACTTACCCTTTGCAAGTGAGGAAAGTATCCAAGGTCCCATAGGTAGTCAGTGGTGGGATTGCCATTCAGCATCCACCTCCTGTAACCTCAACAGTTCTTTCTTTTCCCATCAGCATTTAAACAAATCTGCTCCATTAAAAATCAAACAACCCTCCATTCCAACTTCCCTAGCAGCCATCATCTTCTCTTCTCTATATTTTCACGGCCTTCTTAAGACTTGTTCATCATCTTACTATCTCCATTTTTCTTATCTCTACTCCCTCTTCAACCTATTTTAACCTGGTTTCTGTCACTCTCTTGTCACTGACCCTCCCATCAGGGATGCAACCATTTGTTTATATAGAGGAGGGGGGAAAAATCTTTCTCCTTATCCATCTTAGGTTCTCCAGATGGGACTGTAAATGGGGCTAACCAAAGATAGACAAGAGTGAAACAAAGAGGAATCGTTAACTCATGCACGCACAGACACACACGGGAAGCACCCAGCAATGAGTAACCCCAAGAGCTTGGGCTTCTTTACCATCTGAGGCTAAAACAAAGGAAAGGGAGCCCTGGTGATGCAGCTCAGTGGTTGAGTGACGAACCAGGAGGTCACTGTTTGATTCCCGGTCAGGGCATATGCTCAGGTTGGGGGCTCAATCCAGGGGCATGCAGGAGGGAGCAGATCAATGATTCTCTCTCATCACTGATGCTTCTATCTCTTTTCCTCTCCCTGTCTGAAATCAATTTTAAAAATATTTGAAAAATAATAATAAAGGAAAGGAGCTCTGAGGATTCTGGTGGGGAAAGATGGGGGGAGGTGATGGGTGAGAGAGGGAGACAAGTAATGCATAGGTGACTGGGAAAAGTATGGCAGACAAAGGTTGTTTAATAAGGTTTGTTGTGCAGATTTAAGTCCTACCTTCTCCATTAATGAGTCCTCCTCTTCCTGGTATGGGAGGGGGAGGCATCTTTTACAGGTGGGAATTTAAACGTCGTTTATAAAAGGAAATTTCCTTTATAAAACCCCCGTTTTTAGAGTTTCTGTGCATCAGCTGGTTCTCAATGGCCTTTAGCTCAAAACAGTGCCAAAGAGACACCTTTTGGGGTGGCATGATGTGGCACCCCTCATTTACATCCAGCTGGCGCATGTCAGCTCTCATGCTGCCCTGCTCTCTTTGCCATGTTGCCACATACACTCGACTTCTGAGGCGCTCACTCTCTAGGTGTACCTCCCACCACTCAGAAAGACATTTACCCAGTACTTTTTATTTCTTCCTGTCCTCAGGACCTGGCCCTCAGCATTCTGCTCACCCCCTGCTGCTGGTCTGAGATTCCCATCTGCACTCTGGCTGCACCTGGATTCTCTCTCTGGCCTAGACCTTTCTCCTACACTCGGACCCTTGTTTCCAACTGCTCCCTGCAGATCTCCCTTTGGATCCAGAGTAGGCCCCTCAAATGTGACACGTCCTAAAACATGGGTCAGCAAATCAGCCCATCACGTTTTTGAAACATATTTATTGGAACATGACCAAGTGCATTTTTGTATGTATTGTCTCTAGCTGCCTTTGTGCTACAGCAGCAGAGTTGAGGAGTTGCGGCAGGGACCATGTGGCTT